CCTGCAACCACCTCTATCCCCAGCTTTATGGATCTGTACATCTGGACCTAAGACCTCCTCCATGCATGCATGGATTCGAATTGGCGACCTCGGCCTCAAGAGCCAAGTCTCTTAACCACTACAGCCAGGACATGGTGTTCAAAACTGGAACCATACCGGCTCTGATATCCAGCCCACCCCTGCAAGGCTGTAGTGCCAACTCAACACACACCACACTCAACACCCACGAACGCGGCAATTCTCACATACTTGGCTCCAATCATCATGTAACCCCATTGGTACCCCATTAACTGGCACCTACCAATCCCCTGCTGTGGAGCAGAAAAGTAGCCAACCGACAGATCGTTTAAAAAAAAAAAAAAAAAACACCCCCTCCAGTGGTAACAGAGCTGGTAAGAGCAGACACCGCTAGCACCTGGGGAGAGGCTCCATCCATTGGTGGGGAGCATCACCTGCTGGAAAACGGGTCCAGCGTCCCATATACACAATGAAATTGGAGGATATCAGGAGGATATCAGGACAAGAATCTTGAGAGACACCTGCCAGCATTGATTGCTCTGGAATCCAGAGTATTGACTGAGCAGGTTAATGGAAAAGGGAGAGAACCTCTTCGCCCAGTACCAGGCGCCGGATATCTGCTACTACAACCTAGTTTCCCCCTCCATTGAGTGTGCAGGTAGAGGAAAAGATTAGAATTGGATAAAAACTTATCTTTTCGGTTGGGCTATAGACAACATTGTAGAACCTCCTCTTTCGCTTTGACCGATCCATCAGGTGACGCTTATCTCCTGCATTTCCAAAGCGCAGTCCGCCTTCCCATGACTGTTAGCAAACACCTTTTGTTACCCGGGGGGGCACCGGGGCTGATTCAAGGCCGATGGGCAGGCGGTATCCAGGGGTATCTCAAATGAAGGCTTCTACTAGGGAAAGTGGGTGGGGGGGGAAGGGGTCCGGGAAGTCAGATGGGGGTCTCATAGGGAAGGAGGGCTCAGAATTAGTCCAATCATCGAACACAAGGCGGTAATCCCTGGGAGGCCCCTGTTCCGCCCCGCTCGGCTGGTCCCCTCTCGAATGATCTCCTCCCCACTGAACCCTGGCCACCCACCCCCCTCGATCCCCCCCAAGCCAGTCCGTGCAAAAGCCCGTGAGGGCCCGCTTGATATCCCGGTCCGTCTGGAAGAGATCCAGCTGGTTTTTAAGATTGTGCCATTTGCGCAACAGTTCCAGCTGAAACTGTTCCTTGATTGGTCCCATAAGTTCCCCATCCCTTGCTCTGACGCCTTCCAAGTTGAGAAGGCAACGTTGCCACCACAGGGCCCAAAGGATTGTTCTTCTACCAAGGCTGAACCAGTTCCCTACGTAGGAGGATGCCGTGGCCATGGGTGGGCAATGCCCAGTCAGAATTGCTTGCCAGGACCATGGCCAGGGTGTGTCCGGCATCATCTTGTGCCACACCCGGTCCCACCAGCGCCACGTCAGTACAGCCACCAGACAGTGCATGAAGATAAATTCGATTGTCTCATTCCATTTTCGTGGAGGGAAGGCAGTGAGGCACCTTCGACACCAAGGAAGTCCTACACCTTTCTGTTCCAGGCGGGTGTGATCAATCAGCCAAGCGTTGGTGGGGAGACAGCAGTGGGCGATCTGCCATTGCAACGAAGTAATTGTAGCCGGCCAGACCTTGTTTTCACTGAACCATTTAATAGGTGTGACGAGGGCCAGGTTCACATTTAGATGCTTTGCCCACCTGTCATTTATCTGTTCCCTTAGATTTTTCCTTAGCCGGAGCATTTTGTATGTGGTCTTGACTGACAGGTTCTGTAGGTATATCTTTTTGGCAGGCTCAGTTGCCGGTCTACCTGCAGGCACAGTCGCCGGTCTACCAGCAAGCTGCCACTGCCATTCCAAAGGATCTAGAGCCAACTCCTGAACCGGGGACTGGGGCTGAAACACAAAAACGTCGCTGGCTTCCCCCAGCACACGTACACGGAAGACCTCCTCCCTCTCCCACCATCTGAAAGGGTTGCGGGAGCCTTTCTGCTGGCTCCTTGACCCAATCGAGTAGTATTCCACTAGTACGTCTGTGGTCCGAAGCTGGTGGATCCTGCCAATCCTGTGTGGTTCCCCTTGCAGGCCGACCCAATTGCCGTCCCGAAGGGTGGGTCCACGTCTCAATATTCTGTACCAATCGAGCGGAATGGCGTCTGTGATCATGTCTAAGTCACTATCTATGTGGTGACAATATCGGAGATCATCCCGTATTTGTGCCGACGTCTTCCAATCTTTCCTCTCTGAATCCCATAACTGTCCCACCCTCATAATCCCATGTTTCACCCATCCTTTCCACGGCGTCACAAAACTGCATAGTACTTGCACCAGTTGGGGTGTGATCCACCAGTTTCCAAATAATGGATGACGAGCCACTTGTTCCCATCGGCTAGGGGCTTGCTTTTCAGGAAGGGCCAGTTGTCGCCAGCGACGAGCAAAAGGGATCCACTGGCTGGCCCTGAATTTTCCGAGGGATCAATCAATATCTGTCTTCTAGCCATTTAAGTGGGTGAACTCCACTAGGGGCTGGCGGAGCCAAGTGGGCAATGTGTTCCACGACCAAAGCCCGCCAGGGGCAACGGTGGGAAAAAAACAGTTTTTTAATCCATTGGAGGCGGAGGGTCTGTACCTGCATTTGGGGATCGATGATACCCAGGCCTCCCCTCTGCTCTGGGTCACTGGGTCCCATGCCACCCGGTTGAGCACGTTTGTCCGTTCGTTGTCGCCACGCCAAAGAAAGGCTTATAGGCAGACTTGCTTAGTGGCCAGAGTACCAATTTGTACCATAGTGTGGTGAAGATTACGTTGTTGATAACTAGTGCCCGTCCAAAAAGCGAGGTATGCTTATTGCGCCACTTGGGCAGTTTGGCCAGGGCCGGTGCACGGATCCATTCATCATTCGATGGTGGGCGCTCGTCAGGGGGTCTTCCCCCTTGATGGTGAATCCACCACCCCTATGTTTTACTTCCCCAATTCACCACCATGTCTGAGACGCTCACGAAGCGATTCATCAAATGTCTCACCTCTTCCATATTTCCTTGCGCGGCGTCGACCATGATGGATAGGTGGTCCACGAACAGTGAGCATACCGGTATTGCATAGGTCGTCCACGAACAATGAGCATACCGTCCATGATGGATAGATCGTCCACGAACAGTGAGCATACCGGTATTGCATGCTCCAGGATCCGTGATATATTAGTCCCGGATAGATCGTTATTAGCTCGCTGATTGGCAGATCTGGCCTCCATGATAACAAGGAATAGGAAGGGGGCGATGGGGTCGCCTTGCTGTACCGATCTTTCCAATTTTATTGGTGGGGGCAGGGACCCATTGATTTGTACTCTTGTGGTGGCGTTCAGGTGAAGTATCCTTATCCAACGACGAAAGGCTGGCCCAAAACCCAGTTTTTTTAGATATTCGTCTAAAAAAAGCCAATCCATATGGTCGTAGGCTTTTTCAAAATCGATGAAGATGAAGGCTGCATTTTGCTTTGTCTGACGGCTTAGCTGCACCATCTCATGGATTAGTAGAATATTTTCGTGGATGTGTCTGTGCTGCATGAACCCCGTCTTGGATGGGTGTACTCCTCTACTGTGCTGCATGAAACCCGTCTTGGATGGGTGTATGAACTCCTCTAAGACTGGGATCATTCGATTCGCCAACGCCTTTGCTACCATTTTGTAGGTTGTCAAGAGGGTGTTGGGGCGATAATTCTGAATGTTCATTCAGTCTCCTTTTTTGTAGAGGAGAAATAACACCCCTTGGCCCACCAACTCCCCCATTCCACCTCAACGCCATACTTCCGCATAATAGTCCATTAGGTCCGAGCTCATCTGATTTCACATTGTTCCCAAAATTCTTTGGGAGACCGTCCGATCGAGGGGTTTTCTCCTCCATTTGCAGCAGAGCTGTCCATATTTTTTCCTTGGTCAGAGGTGCCTCCAGGCTTTCCCTTTGATCCTGGGAGAGAGTTTTGGTCATCGGTTGTAGGAAATCCTCAATCTGGCCCAGTCGGGTTCTTTCGTCAGTAAGGGGGATATGTGTGGCAAACAAATCTTTGAAAAAGTCACGGGCTATTTTAACGCATCTCGCAGTGGTGAGAATGGGGTCCTCCTCTGTCCTCGCCAGGTCGTACAAAGCTTCCACCAGGGTACGCTTGGACCTGGTTTGGGCGAGTCCAAAGAATTTTGAATCCATGGTGTCTTCAGAAGAGTGTTTAGACAACTTTCCTCGAATTTTTGTGCCTTGCCACCTATATTGTGCTTGTTGGAAGAGTTCAGGTTCCTCCCCCCCCCCCCAAATCCTAGGGTGTTGTAGAGGCCAACGACCAGACCCACGGTGATTGCTGGTACCGACAGCCAATGGTTGTCCTCACAGGATAGGCCACCTACCTTACCCATCCCCACGTTAATACTCCCAATGCACCCCCTGTCCATACCATCCTACCTCAGTGTGACCAGCACTCAGGACTGCCTTGCTTAGGTAATCCTGTTGGGTAGACTCTCTGAATTGGGCCTGAAGAAGATTGCATGAGCCTGGCGTCCGAAGTTCCTAAACAACAAGGTTCGTTCGCTTCCGCTTCCATTAGGGCTGGGAGGTTGGTCCAGCCTTGGTGCTTGTCAATGCTGTCTGGTCCAAGTTGCCCTCGATAGTGGTAGGGTGTCAGAAGAGTTCAATTTTTCCTTTGTTGATGGAGTTTGTATGCTGCTCCGCCATGAGCTGGTTATGTTGCTGGTCCAGCTCACGCTGTTCCAACTCCTGGAGTTGGCTCATTAGGTCGATCTCGTGTTGGTGGCTATCTAGCGACTTGCTTGGAGAATTCATTACATTTTTGGGCCAGAAAGAAAAGCCCATTGTTAAACCAGGTAACTGTAGAGTCTATTTTCGGGGGGCGCTCCCTCTCGTATGTCCACACTTGGGCCAGATACTGCTGGAATGAGTTAAGTCGGAGCAAGGAAGTGTTTAGTTTGTAGAAGTCAGGCCCTTGGTCTGGTCTTTTCCTAAAGGTCAATGCCGCCATACACATTTTGTGGTCCAAACCCGGATATGGGCTAGGAGGGAGAATGGCAGCCAAAGAGAGGCTCCTGGCCACTGCCTCCGACGCCAGGATCAAATCGATTCTTGATTTGGATAGCCTGGCAGAGTTGTTGTTCCGAGTGCATGTGAAGGTACGCTCAGTGGGGAATGTGGGGCGGAAGGTGTCAAAGAGTGAGAGTGAGTTGCACAAGTGGTTGATCATGACCTCATCCTCTTCTGCGTGTCGTGCCATGGAAGGACGGACCTGCCAACGGTCCAGCCAGTGGTTAGGGGCCTCATTGAAATCCCCCACTAGGACCACCGGGATACCTTGCGGGACCTTTGCCTGGATTTTGCCAAATAACTCCTCCCGCTCAGAAGCCGTATTGGGGGCATAAATACAAAAAATGCAAATTACTTCCAATTCCAATCGTGTCCTAGGCGTAATATTTCTTCCCCCCCATCTCCCCACTCAATCCTATAACTCTTACCCATTGCAGTTGCAGGGGGGCACTTCCCCCACATTACTTTTGTTGTAACTCGTGTGCCAAATTGAGTTGTTGGGTCCTCGCAGCACCCGCACACAAGCACGAACGGGCAGGCTTGAAAATAGAAGGGTCAAACAGGCCTCAGAAGAGGCCCAGGACCCGGGCCCAGAACCGAGAAGTCAAAGTCAGCACAAAAGATTTTCCTGGTCGTCAATCTGGAGTGATCTTACAGTGGTTTGCAGGTTCCAGAAGATTCAGGCCTCAAGGAGTCCAGACCGCAACTGGGACACATTGGAAGATCTGGGCCCTGAGGACAAGCGAGTCAACACTATATTAAGTTGACCTCGCCACAAATTTCGTCACTTTCTAGTACCCATCGACGAGGACTTTTGGGGTTTCCTTAGGGACCGATTCACTCTGTGTAGATTGACTGAACGGAGAAACCCTTGAAACTTTCGGCGATTATGTTTTTCACTTGATTTTTTGTTACTCATGTCAACATTCTCACTTCTGATATCTCCAGGCTCCAGCTGTTTTCACAAATAGCTTTCTTCAAATTACAGAAGTTGGGCATTCAGTCTTGCGAGTTGCTTGCCGCCACGACGTTGCAAGTGAGACTTGAGTGGGAATGTTGGCGCCAGGCTGCTTCATGGGCGCCAACCAGATATCATAGTATAGAGAGAGGGAGAGAGGGAGAGCGCCTAATGTCGCGACCATAGATGCCAGCAAGGGAATGAGGAGAGGGAGAGAGAGAGTGTGTGGGTGATGTGAGTTGGAGTGTGGGTGATGTGAGTTGTTGTGCATACGTACATGGTTTCTTCAGATGTGATGCTGTTGCCGACTCTGCTCACCGTTGGAGGATCGTTTACCTGCGAGGAGTTGCTCCCACATTGTCCACGTGTTACACGGAGTGCTGACGTGGCACATTGAGTGCATATTGCTGACGCGACACATTGAGTGCATACTGCTGACGTGGCACTTTGGGCATATTGCTAACGTGGCGCATTAAGTACAGAATGCTGACGTGGCAGAGGTGGGAAGCCTAAAGGAGAAGAGGGACTTACACTTCTCCTTCCAACTGTCTATTCTCCCCTCCTCTCTTTTCTGGATATTGTCGACTTGGAGACATGCATGTGGTAATGAGGAATTATCGGATTGATCATCTCATGGCATTGCATAACATTGTTATCTGCGACATGATTGGATGACGAGACTAGGTTCATTACATTTTGTTCTTCTTGATCAATATAAAATTGTCTTGACCCGAGTAGAACGTACCATCATTTTTGTTGCATTTGGACTGATAGTTGGGCTGAATACAGATATAACTAAGCACTGTACATTCTACTCGTGACAATCACCACCATTCATGAGTCGTTTCTCTTCTTCGTCGGTAATAATATGCCTCATGTTTTGCTGCCTCGCTTTTGTCGCACTCGTGATGATGATAGTAAGGCCAGCAATCCAACAGATCATCTATCCGGGGCAGTGTTTCGGCATTCTTCACTGTGATGACGTTAAGACCCCTATAGTCAATGCACATTCGTAACTCTCCCTCCTCCTTGGGGACGAACAGGACAGGTGCTCCAAATGGAGACGAACTGGGCCTAATCCAACCCTTCTCGAGGAGTTAATCTAACTGCTTGCACAACTCCTTTAACTACCTTGGGGACATTCTATACACTGCTCCCTTAGGAGTCCTACTGCCAGGCTCTATCTCAATGCGGCTCAAACAAATCTGCATACTCTTGCAGCAGCTTGGCAATACAAGGGTTGATCGACTCTTCCTCTTTATGCCAGGACACAGAGGGACACTTTGGTTGGCAAAAGACATTAGCCAACCTCGTTCGCGCGTATACTTGGCCTGACATAAAGGCTGACTGCATAAAGTATGTACGCAATTGTGAAGTATGCCAGAGGAACAAGACCACTACGCGAGCCCCTCTTGGTCTTCCCAGACCCTTGCCTATTCCCACAGGACCCAGAGATTATGTGTCCATCGATTTCATGGACGTTGGGGTCAAGAGTAGGCATGGCAAGAGCATAGTTGATAGGTTTAGTAAGTATGCAGTTTTTGTTCCTTTGCCTTCAGAGGCACACACAGATCTAGTAATAGAGAAGTTGTTTGATCATTGGGTTAGTGAGCATGGTCTACCGCTGTCTATAGTTAGTGACAGAGATACCAGGTTGACTAGTCAGAACTGGCAGGAGCTGATGAGAGTCTATGGCTCTAAGTTGTTAATGTCATCTGGCTGTCATCCAGAGACCAACGGTCAGACTGAGCATGAACAAGATCCTGCAACAAGTTCTCAGAACGTACATTAGACCTGATCAAGTCAATTGGGATGAGATGCTCCCAAAGGTAGCCAGTGCATACAACAACAGCGTGCATTTGGCAACCTGTCAAACTCCGAACGAACTGCATAAGTCCTTTAGACCGCGTAGACCGTTTGAGGGACTAAACCGGGATCAGATCCAGAGGCTACCACCCGGTACTAGGGAGTTTGCACTACAGCACGAGAAAGAGATTGCTACCGTAATAGAGAACCTCAGGAAGGCCCATCATAAGATGATAGAGTAAAAGCCAACAAACACCGTCACCCGTCGCAGTTCCAGGTAGGCGACCTAGTCTTGGTCAAGTCCAAAGAGTTTGCTCCTGAGGAGAACTTCTCACAGAAACTGTTACCTGCTTATAGAGGACCGTGGCCAGTCCTAGAAGTCAAGGGCGGAGAGGATGGAGTGTCCTACACGATAGAGATTCCAGCACACCTCCACGCCTACCCAGTTTTTCATTCGTCAAAGTTGTTGCCTTGTACTACGAGTCAGCAGTTCCAACTTCCCATCGAGAAGGTCCATGATCCCTCCTGATATGGATGGAAGGTACGACATTGATCACATAGTAGGTGAGGATGCATTCAGAACAGGAGGTAGAGTGAGGATGTATTCAGAACAGGAGGTAGAGGTCGTCCAAAGAAACAATACAAAGTCAGATTTTCTTATGAAGAGCCGGAAGACAACCGCTGGTTTACCCGAACAGAACTTCTAGAGGCTGCTCCCGATGTAATCTGCGCCTATGAAAGAGAGAGGAAAGGTAAAGGTCCTGCCTTGGACTGAAGTATTCTCGGAGGACCTCAAATTTAGGCTGGCGGGAGTGAAACGGATTTCACCTTCGTGGTAGCAGACACAGATCCAGAGGCTCGATCCCTAGGCCAGCCCCGAACCCGTGTACAGTACAGTTTGCCTCATCCAGATTTGAACCCTGGACCTGACCCTAAAAGTTGTCTGTTTAAGGCTGTTGTACATACGAGGGTTGAGTAGATTTAAGCTGCTTACCTGTAGTATAGGAGTCATAGCTTATGACTAGTCGTAGCTGCTGTAGGTCTGAAGGGTCAACCTTCGTCGTAGCCGCTATAGTACCGAAAAGGCAAGTAGGAAGGTCTAGAGTCTTCTAGGACTGCCCCTTCGAGAGTCTCAGAAGCAGTCCGTAGGCAAGTGGGCAAGTGGGCAAGCGGGTAGACTTACCAGGTCCAGTCAGCGGTACCCAGTCCCAGTCGCACCTTGTCAAGTCAGCAAGTACCATGTGGGATTGTTTGGGCCCTAGGCCCGGTGGAAAGGAGCAGACCGGCGACCAACTGAAGTATAAATCAAGAGGCGGTGTCCAGTTATTCATTCATTCATACTGTGAGCCGTGTGGAAGCACTGCCTGATCGACTTGTGCAAGGAGGTCTGCAGGTGCCCGGGGAAGAAGTGGGCTGATTAGGGAGACGAAGCGGCCATAGCCGCTAGTTAGTGGTAGAGGTAGCAAGCAGCCATAGCTGCGCTAGCATAGAGATAGGCTGCAGCGTGTTTGTGTATGAGGAGTGCGCAGTGAGTTGTGAGCGTGTGTGGGACATCCAGGGAGATCCAGCGTAGCGTGCATGTGAGCTGTTGCTGAGGATACAGCGTGAAAGGGTGTTGTGAGGGCGCACAGGCGCCATAGCCATTCGAAGCAAGTGAATCTGAACTGTGTTCTTGGCCACGATTTCTCTGAGCTTTGTGTGGGCGCCTGGCGCCAGTGTGATTACCATCTGTTTTCATGCATGCTGAGTGAGAAAGAAGACGAGTCTGATTGTGGTACCAAGTACTGAAGCAAAAAAAAAAAAAAAAAAAGCTCAGTGGGAGGTACTTTGTTGCTCAGCGAATCCCGTGCCAGGTAGCTGGTGCCGTGTGGGAGGAAAGTACGTTCCAACTTCTGGCACTATCCCAAAGAAAAGAGAAAAACAAAACAAAAAGGGAAAACCAAAAAGATGCCCCTTCCTGCAACAGCTGGATGGGCAGCACTTTTTTTTCTTTTTCTTTTTTTAACTTCTTGTTCTATAGGGATTCGAACTCAGGTCCGTGAGACAACAGTTCACGGGCGTACCAACTGGGCTAGGCACCCCTGATAATGAGCGTATACAAAGCAGCATTTCCGGTTTTGATGTAGTCATTATGAGGATGTGTAGTGTTTCGGGGAGGACGGTAACTGCCACGCACCTAACTCGAGGTATTGGAAGACCCGGTGCGAGCAGTCTGCACGCACGCACGACTCTGCAGTCAATGTGTAATCAAACCCTTACGGTCACTCCATGATTTCCCTTTGCACACCTTGACAAAAATCAATTTTAAATTTTAAATTTTAAAGCTCCAACGACGGCCACACACGTGATGTGCCACGGGGAAACCCGTTGGGCGCTGACAAAAAACAAGCCAACAAAACCCCTAAGCCGTGCTCCGTTGTGGCGCAGGGACAACTGGGCCTCGCCGGCCAGCCCACAAGGGTTGCTGAGGCAAAACATGCCTCAATACCACCACAGCGCTCCTGCGCCCGGGCAGGTAACCTAGCCCTCCACGTGTGTTTGACATTGCATCCGTCCTCTTTTATTGTGTGCACGGTTCAAAGTTCAAACTCTTTTCTTTTTTTTTTCTTTTTTTTTTTTTGTTGCCTTGCCAGGCTTGGGGTACATGTGTGTAGTAGTCTACCACTCATCCACATGGACCAGGTACAATGAATCCTCTTGCCTTGCCTGGCTTGGGGTAGCTCGGCTCTCCTGGTCAACGAGGAATGCTGATAGTGGGACTGGGTTGTGTTTTTTTTTTTTTTTTCTTCTGTTTATGTGGTCATCTGGACTCGAACTCAGGTCTGTATTTTGAAAGTTTGTGAGTGTACCAACTGATAGTAGTGGGACTGGGTTGCGTTTCTGTTTTTTCCCTTTTTCTTTATTTTGGCAAGTAAGCATTGCATTGCTTATAATGTCAATGTACGAGGCCGTTTTTTTTTTTTTTTTTTTTTTTTTTTTGGTGGTGGTGGGGGGGGAAGGATAGGTCAAGTATTAAATAATAATTAAATTAAACAATAATTAAAAAAAAAGAGAAAAAAAGAAGTATTGAAATTTGAATATTCGTTTATATGTACTATTTTTTTGTACAAAAAAAGAGGAGGGTGAATCCCTGACATGTGTTTGATCACTGATTGATGGCTCTTTAAAATTTCCTGTTCCATTTCTACAGCGGATCGGTTTGAAGGCCTTGAGTGGGCACCAGCGAAGAGCGGGTCGCCCATTCTGCTTGGCACGGTGGCTTTCATGGAGTGCAAGGTTGTCAGTCGCATGGAGACCCCTGACCATTGGATCGTTTACAGCCATGTCACTGACGGGAGTGTTTCCAAGCCCGATGCCCGAACAGCCGCACACCACAGGAAAATTGGCAACTACTACTAGCAAGCAAGCAGCTGGCCGCCACGGATCGCCCATAACCATTGCGACCAGCCGCACACCACAGGAAAACTGCCAGAACTAATGTACTCGCAAGCAACCAGCTGGTCGCCACAGATCACATATCGCCAATCCGATCCGTTTACAGCCACACAATTTGTGGGATGGTTTCCAAGGCCAATGCCCGAACAGCTGTACATGTACCAAGCAGGTACATTGGCTGCTACTTACCGCTACTAGCGACGTGTTGCCCACCGTAAATCGTCCATCAACAATTGCAGATTGTCTACACAACTTTACGGCCAACTGATTGATTGATTGATTGGTTGATTGGTTGATTGATTGGTTGATTAACTGGATGATTAACTGGATGATTGATTGAATGGTTGATTGATGGGTTGGAATGATGTGATCTTTCCAAGGCTGATGCCTGAACAGCCACACACACGTACTGAACAGCTAAATTGGCAACTGCGTAAGACGGCCGCGAGCAGCTGACGACGACAGAATCGGACAGATCATCGTGTCAAGTATGACTGGTCAGGGTGTACCTGCTGCGGAGTGCTCCACCACCCTTGTCAGGAAAATGTCTTAGATAACTTAGATTTCCTTCCACCACCGCTCCCGTCCACCTCCCCCCCCCCCCCCCCCCCCCCCCCCCCCCCCCCCCCCCCCCCCCCCCCCCCAAACATTTAATGTGCACATGGCCTGCTCCACTAGCCCCTGAAATTGAAGCTGTAGGAAGGAGACTAGAATGAGGACGACGACGATATTTCATGCTCGTTGACTTCAGTCTATGTTCGTTTAACTTGGCGGCAAAGGGTACCATACATAGCGCATGGCAGAGCAGACCGTCAGCCTGCTGCAATGTTAAGTCTTTGTTTTCCTTTTTTTTGGGAGGGGGGGGGTCTTCTGTATTGAATCTGTATTATATTAGAATCATGTAGGAAGTGCTCAGTTTACTTCTAAGTTATTATTTATGTCACTTTATGTGATACTAACCTGACAGCGCATGCCTGGCTGGCGAAGTGCCCTCGGAAACCTCTTTTTTTTTTTAGCAGGTAGCCTAAGAAGGGGGTGGACTTACTGAGGACTGAGGACATGTTGGGATCCGCAGTCCGCATGGATACCCTCCCCCCCCCCCCC